CTATTGAAGTTCACAAAATAAAGTCATTATGCATATGAATTTAAGGGAAAAACATAGAGAACATGTGTAAACAATGCATATGAGGACATTAAGCAATATACAAACATATTAAAATCATCTAAGACATTATTGCCTTTAGACATTATTATCATAAAACATTCACACAGAACATTTATATAATGTATAAGGTCATTATTGTGAATATGAGTAAAAAGGTAAAACTTTCAATTCACACATGCCATTTTCATAATGTATAAGGTCATTGTGAATATGAGTAAAATGGTAAGTGGAATTTATCTAAATAAGATTTAAACATAATAACTTTTTCTAAATAGGACCATATATTTTTATTTCTCAATGTAGGACCATTGGTCATTATTCATTAGTCATTATTCAAGTAAATATCCACCATCACTGGATATTATTAATTCCTCCCAGTAGACATTATTAAGTACTTCCTCTGTCCTCCAGTTTTGTCCACTTTTGACTTTTGGAACTGTTCATCTAAGCACTTTGACTCATCAAATTCTCTCAATGTGTAAGCCTAAATATAGTCATGTGTGATCTTGTTTGATCTATCTTAACATATAGATTATTAATATATAATTTCTATAATTTTTTAATATACAAATTACAAGATAAAATGGATTAAAGAAGTGTATTGGATGGTGTGTAAAAATGAAAGTGGATAAATACTCTCGGACGGAGGAAGTACTATTTAGGAAATAAAACATTTTAAATGTTACTCCGTACTTTAGGAAATAACTTATGTTTTAGTCCTATTTAGTGTAAATTTTACAAGGGGTTATACGAAGAAATTTAAAAAAAAATAAGGGCCTAGAGTAAAAATGTGTAGTTCTCTTACTACCTCTGTCCCATTTTATAACGTCTGTTTCGGTTTACGATGTTTGATTGAAATTATTTCCAAACCATTTTATATGAAAAATGGTATAGAATTAAAAAATAAAAATTACATATTAAAAAACTAAATCAAAAGATCTACAAAACTAGTAGTGACAATAATATTTTATTTTATCAAATTGTTAACGAAAATAAAGAAAGAAAGTGAATGAAGTTTGACCCTGTGAATAGTAAACATGCATTATAATTTGGGACGGAGGGAGTATAATATAGTAACAGAAATATTCTTTAAAAAAGTAAAAAAAAATATTTTTAAAATCACAAGAAAAGAAAATATGAGAAACAATATACTCCGTACAGAGTAATGATCACTAAAAAATAGGAGAAGTTATAATTAATTATCCTCTAAATAAGAAAAGAGAATCCTATTTAAAATATGGAAGCTAAAGAAATGGAATTGAGAAAAGTAAGTCTAAAGGGCAAAGATGGCTACACGGGACAAAATAAGTCTTAAACAAAGAAAAAATCATAATAAGTCTTATTTAGAACCTATCATCTTTTAGTCCTATTAGGAACAAATTTTACTTTTAAGAAATAGAGAGATTATTAAATTTGAAGGCCAAAGAAACCAACTTACATTTCTTTTGTTTGATGATACTCCCTCCATTCTATATTAGCTATCCAGTATGACTATTTTGATACACTGAAAAAATAATGAATGTAGATATAATTGTTATTTACATTCATTCATTTTTTAATATATACTAAGAAAGTCTTAATAAACAGTTTATATGAAATGGAGAGAGTATTCTGTAGAAAATTGTGATGATTCATGGGTCAAATTAAATTGAGTATGGAGTATTATGATATGCGTAATTTGTCTTAAATATTTATGTAAACCTAATTATATCCCACAAGTTTTAAATTCATGAGAATATTTGAACAAAATTTCATGAACTTTAATTTATGTTAAATACTTTTATATCTGGGTCAAATTTGAGTATTCTTATATGCGTAGTATAGAAGGCTTTTAAGAGTTGAACTTTTCCCTAAATTTCTGAAGCCCATAGGGAAGTGAATAAGTTGGGCTTGATGAACCTTTGGACGTAGGGGTAATAGAAGTTCTAGATCTTGACCCACCATTATATTGTTGAAGAGAGGTAAAAATGTAAAATTAGAAACAAGATTTTACAATAGCGTTTTTATATTATTGAATAAAGTTTTCCAATTACAACAGATGGAATGACTTATGACTATATGCGGAGTATTAGATAACTAAGATAAGGATTAGCGCGATAGATTTAAAGTTTTTAGGCAAAGAAATTGTTAATACAATACTCCAAATGATTAATTAAGCTAGCTGTATATATACAATGTCGTTTTCATCTTGCTTAGCTTCTGCATACACACATGATAAAAGAAGTGTTTACTATACATTTTATGGTTAGGTCACATATGGTACCATAAAAGTTGGAGAACATTTAAGTTTCTAAGTAATGATCTTGTAATAATGATCGAATTATTCGTACTATTACTGTATAAACTTAGAACTGGTATATATGTTCGTTCAATTACTGAATATTCACCCAAATACCTTCGCTGGGTATACCTTGATGGACCACGAAAAGCATGTAATATCCGGCCGGGGCCAGGTTACCCGAACCCGGTGTCGCCACGCTAATTTGGTACGTGTTTACTCCGGGCCCGGGTTTCACGCCCCCGCCCCCGAGCACCAACAATCTTTGGTGTTGGGAAAAGGAGTGAGTCGAAAACGATGGCGCAACCATCGTTACCGTCACCGAGTCCCCGTCGAATCCGGGGCCCACCGTGAATTCGACCACTATTTCTTGACCATAACCGATTTTCGAATGCAGACCGGGGAACGTGATGTGCGGGCGCAACTCCGCGGACGTCGGGTCCAGATACGGCGGTGAGTATGCTTCGAGTCTCAACTCTGTCGGGAACAGGACATCGTCGAACACGTAGTTCGGGTGTGGGTTACTGCCCCCGACGAGAACTCGACCGTCTCGGAGCAATATCGCCGATGAGTGGTACATCCTCGGGATCCCGCTCGGGTTCTCGACTTCGAATCGGGCCCCGACCGGGTTCTCGGGGTGGTAGATAACCGGTCTCAGTACCGGATTCCTCGCATCGTTGTACCCGGCAGAGCCCCGGGCTGCCCCGTTAATGATCAGGACCTGCCCGTTCGGGAGGGTGATCATGTCACCCATGAGCCGAGGAAACGGCATGTTCTCCATGGCCCATTTCGGGTCCGGGTCGGTAATCGTCATCCTCCCGCAGTTATTCAAAGCACCCATGAAGTTGCCACGCTCGGAAGCCGGAAAAGCGCCTTTCGGTGCTCCGCCACAAACCAAAACCTCGGCTTCTAGCACGGGACCTCCCAAGTTCTTCAGTGGTAGAAGAACTGCAGATCCCGTGCTCGGATAGCACCTCGGTTGACCATCTGGCATTTCAGGGTACAACCTCACCACAACACGCTTGACGTAATCGTACAGAATTGCTCTGTTGTTGGCGAAGATGAACAAATGTCCGTCCACGTTTAGGAACACGAACGGGTACAAATTGTTCTCGACCCCGGGGTCATTTGTGTCTGCTAAGAACGGGAGATCGTAAAGAAGGTCGCCTCCCGGGATCTTTGGGTGATACTCGTAGTTGAACTGCTCGCGGCCGCCAATGATGATCTGGCGGCCGTCCGGTAGGATATGGTTGGTGGCGTACCACCGCCACTGGTGCAGTGCGTCCGGGTACTCCACCCAGTCGCACTTTTTGTCATTGCACGGGGTGAAGACCCGGACGACATGGTCCCCGTCGTTCCACCCGCCGGTCTGGACGAGGGTCCCGTCCGGCATGACGGCGGCGGACGAGCACCAGACGTCGGTCTGGACCATGAGTGGACGAACGGAGTTGTCGGCGACGTCATACTCGACGGAGTGGGCGGTGCAGTCGACTTTGACGACAAGATCATTGACGTCTTGGCGGCACTTGCCGGCGGGGAGGGAGATGTTGGAGAGGCCGAAGTCGGTGCGGTCGAGGATGACAACCTTGTCGTTGTGGAGGAGTTGCATGTGCATGGCGGCAATGCCGACGTTGGGCAACAGAAGGTCCCACTTCCCACCACCAGCTGCGGCGGCGAACGTGTTCCGGCGGGACGACGGAGGGGAGGTTATTAGACAGACCAGCTGCCACATGGCAATGGTAAGAATCAAATTTCGTCCCATTGTACTGATTAATTAATTGTGGTGTGATTTTAATTTCTTCTTCTCTTTAATAAATCACAGTGTATATATGTGAGTTAACCTTTTATTTATAGCAACAAGCCAACAACCGACGACTTATATGAGTTACGGATAGGAGTATATGTTGCAAAACATGTTTTCTTTCGTCCATAAAGAAAACTCATTTTTACCGATCACATACATACTCATATATATATATATATATATATATATATATATATATATATGAAATTTGTACTAAATAGTACTAATCACTTCCTAGTGTAGTACTTAAATTTTTTTAATCTCTAAATACTACTTGAATAATATCTAGTGGTATAAATAATATCAGTAATGTTGGACATTTAATTTGAATTGAACACTGACCAGCCGACATTGAACAATAATACCACATTGAGAAAGTCACTATATTTTAGTATTATTTAGATAAATTCCAACTCTCACGCACATGTATGTATGCGCGCATGTGTCTGTATGTTTAGATAGAAAATGAACATTGAGACAAAAAACAAATGGGAAAATAACATTAGAACATACCCTCTACTTTCAAAAAAAAAAGGAACATATATACCCTCTTTTATATTTTTCATCAATCTCTCTGGTCAATTTAATTAAATGAATTTTAACTATCAGTCAAGTAAAAATGGCTTAATTGCGTATTTGGTTCTCTGGGTCAGGGTTGGCCATGCGCCAAGGTGTCTTACCCGCCCATACCGATTATTAATTATTAGATTAAAGAAAAAAATAATTTATACCCCGTATAACTTAATTTATAAGGAACAAGGCCTTTTTTGCACAGTTTACCTTCATATAGTTTAGAACAATATTGAAAAATTAAAAAACGAATGATTGAAATTCGTTTAAAAAATAGAAATGAAGACTATAAATTTTTCCTTTATTTAGAACAAATAAAGAAATATAGAGTATAACTTTTTTGGTACAATCCAAAAATTAGCTTGAATTGGGTATCCATTAATTGGAGATTAAGTTAATACTCCGTATATTGGAGGAAAAAGCTCAACGGAATATGCGGAGCTATAGTGATACACACGCAAATTATACCCGTAGAAAATTTGTCATATTTAAATTGATTTATCTTATTCCATCTAATTTTTTTTCAAGTCCAATTAAAGCTAATTTAATTACGACAGATCCGTTTAATGTAATATATTTACTATATATAGGGAGTATGTTGTAATTGACATTCCAGCCACCCAATTAGAAATCATATATATCACCAACATTTTGGTGTTATTTTTTTGTTTTTAAAATTGTCCATTGAGTGTGTGTGTGTTTTTAAAAGTTGTGCATTGTCACCTCATACTCTCCAATAAACACAACATGGTTATTTTGAAAATCATGTTAAACCATGTTAAGTTCCACATCAAAAATTTCATAAACATGCGTCAGAACTTTAAAAAATCACATCAATACTCTCGAAATTTTTAAAAATGTTGTACCGGCGGTTCCTCTGTGCTAGACTTCGCAATGTGTTAATCACATGCTAATCGATCAATATATGTGTTGGAGCTTGGTGAAGATGTCATGCATTGATTAGGAGATTGATCGATTGATGACACACTTTATCGACTTATGTCCGGCCTTCCATTTTCGTTACCGACGACTAAATCGAGGATAATTATCTAAGGTTTAAAGAAGTTAAAAATATAAAAAACAATGTTTGAAAGGACACATTGCAAAGTTCATGTGCGATATATGACTTAAAACAAATCTATACTTGCATTGGATGAATGCATGATTAACAAACTCAAATCTGACACAGAGAAAAAATTGGTTCAATATTTTTAAAATACAAGAGGAAATTAATACCCGAGTATAATTTTTAAAGTTCAAGAAGAACTTATGGATTGTGGCCCAAATTGTGGCATATTGGATTACTATAATGAACTCCAAATTGTGGCCGAAAGCCCCTACTTCCGAAACTGAAAAACCTTGGTAGCCGCATGATCCAAACCGGAAATACTGCATTGGCCCAATCACTTATGCCAAATTAAGCCCGTCAGATTATAGTATAGTTCAGGCCCAATATATTCGATGTAGGGGAAGGCCCGATAGATAAATGAATAAATAAGACAGATCTCAAACTTTCCATTATCATCATCGTCATCAGCTTTCTTCCCGCACAGAAAAGGAGAGATCTTTGAGATCCGATCGTCGTCGTTGGGGGAATATGTCAAGCTTCAGCGGAGATGAAACGGCGCCGTTCTTCGGATTCCTCGGCGCAGCCGCCGCCTTAGTCTTCTCATGTACTCCGATCTGTTCTTTCTCCCTTCGTTCTCAGATCTATTCTTCGAATTGTACCAATAATCGATTGCTGCTGCTTCTGATTGTTTTTTTTGGGCCGGATTTACAGGTATGGGAGCGGCTTATGGGACCGCGAAGAGTGGAGTTGGGGTGGCGTCGATGGGGGTGATGAGGCCGGAGCTGGTGATGAAGTCGATTGTGCCGGTGGTTATGGCTGGTGTGTTGGGTATTTACGGATTGATCATCGCTGTGATCATCAGCACGGGGATCAACCCTAAGACGAAATCGTACTATCTGTTCGATGGGTACGCTCACCTTTCGTCTGGTCTTGCTTGTGGCCTTGCTGGTCTTTCCGCTGGAATGGCTATTGGCATTGTTGGTGACGCCGGTGTCAGGTAAATCTACTCCCGAGTTATTCCATTCGAGTTGAACTGTCTATATTGTATGATGATTGCTAGAATCTGGTGCATATATTGTTTTGATTTCACTCGAATGCTTTATACATGTTCTGGAATGATGGTATGAATGACATTGTTCTGTTTTTGCTTCTTTTTCAACAACAAGGTGTTTTTTTTGTTACTGATTGCTTTAAGTTTGATGTGGTGATCTTTGGAAGTGGAATGTTTGATTCTTTTCTTTTCTCTCTAATGAAAGAACACCTAAAGGTTCTTCTTCTTTAAAAAAAACAAGAATTATAGTTGAGGCTTATTTCTTTGTTGAAAGAGTTCCTGTTATGCTAGGTGCTAACTGCTGACTGCCTTATCGTCATTATTCTTGCATTATTACTTCTCATTTATTTGCATTGTGGTTTGATTTAGCATCCAATCTGTTTGCTTTAACCCTGTGCTTGAGTAGGATGTCAATTGCGGCGATATAAGTGCTAAATTGTCTAGTTTTGTAATTTTGAGTCTGACTTCAAGGAATCTAGTTTAGATTTCAGCATTGATGCTGGTTGTTTTCAGAATATATGCTAAAAAGTTTAGATTTAGGAGTGGTTTGGCAGACTTTTTTTAGCTTATTAGTATTATCATTCAGCATTTGTACCAAACACCAATATATTTCATCGCACAAGCTGAATTGGTGCATAATGAAAACAAGTAGGACTCGAGGTCATTTTTTTCCGTAGGTTTTGGAGATGGATCACTTTAGCCACTTTCTTTTCTTTATATTATCAATAAAACATATTTGAAATCTATTTTTCATAGAATTTCAGCAATTCCATAAACTTCATCAATATCAGCCATACTTTCAACAAATTCACTCTTACCAAATGGCATTTAGTCTTTAGACTCACGAGCTTAGCTTGATGAAACTTTTGAGAACAAATCTTTTTCATTGAAACGATTCATTATTATTTGTTGGTTTGTTCAACCCCTAGAGATTTGATGGGATAATACATTATTCGCTCTAGTCCATCTTTGCCCACAGCCTCTAGCACTGTTATCCAATTTCCATCATCTTTTTAACTTGGTGTTTTGTTTGCATCACCTGTTTAGAAGCAAACATGTACTAAGGTTTTAGTAATGTGACATAATTGTATTGCCCCATTGCTTATTGTAATGAACTGAGAAATGCTTGTGCTTTTCTAAGGCTATGTTGGGTTGTCAATTGTCATGAAGATTAAATAATAGAGAAGAATGAGAGAAGAAATAGTCCTCTTCTTCATCACCATGCGCAACTTAATCCAAACTAGGTGGGGGGGGGTGTCAAAGAGATTAAACTTTTAGTGCCAATGTATTGTATAAATTGATCAACCCTACAAAATCTTGCAAATAACCGTGCCAATGTTTTATGCCGGATGCCCTTCATGTCCCAACCTTCATAGTTCATAGGAAGAAATAATAGGATGAGTATTCTATAAAGGTCATCGTCATAAGTTATTCAACATACACAGAAAATTAATGTGACATCAATGTATTATCATGTTCCATTTCAAGATTGACATTGTCTAACCAACCTTCAAATCATGGAACACGACCAATACATAAGAAATAGTGTGAGAAAAATAGTTGAGGGAAGCAGCAAATGGTGTACAATGTTTGGGTACAATGTTTGGTATATGTGTGGAATCAGATAGAAAGAAGCTTCTATATTTATTAAAATGACCGAATTTGAATTGAAGGATAAAAGTTGAAAAGAAATGAACATCCTCATTTCCAAGTATTTGTCTTCCCAACATAGTAGAGTCTCCAAAAAATGGAAATACTTAGTGTTCCTTCGCTATCTGAACAATGAAATTACTTCCTCTCTCTTCATTTTTCTCGTTTCTTTTTATTTCTCTACCGCACAAGGTACATCCAGAGGCTAAATGTAAACTTCAAAAAGTTAAATGCTACTTTATCCTCTGTAACAAAGACTTGAGAAGTTTTCGAAGCAAATCTATGGATCTAAACACTCTTTTATGCATCGCGATTCTTTGAGTTGGATCATAGGAAGGCCAATACACTTATAGTTCTGATCTTGTGTAAGATCTGAATTGCCATCACCAAGAGGACTTGTAACATTGTCATGCTATGAGTTGGATTGCGATCTTGACTACCTTGACTAGTAGAAGTGTATAACTCATACTATCAAATCTCTAATATGCGGAACCACTTTTTTAAAACCTCTATGACCATGTCTTTTTTACATGTGACTTTGGCTATGTATGTGCAATCATATATATTTTGCAGGATATTTATTATCTTGATCCATTTCTTTATGGATTCTCTATGTCTTATAACCCTTTCTTCCTTGTTTACACAGAGCTAATGCACAACAGCCGAAGCTCTTTGTTGGGATGATTCTCATTCTCATTTTTGCCGAAGCTTTGGCTCTTTATGGACTCATTGTTGGAATCATCCTCTCTTCTCGTGCCGGTCAGTCTAGAGCAGACTAGAGGAAGGAAGAACCTGCCTGAACGCTTCCGAAACCTTCATTTCATTTTTTTTTTAAAATATTTTGTTGCTTCAAATCCTTCCATATGTGTTTGAATGATTGGCTAGAACAATGGTTGCATATGTTGTGATTAGCTCTCTTCTTACAATAAACTCTGTGGTTTTACTGTTGTAATTTTTGCAGACCAGAATGGACTATATTGTTTTTGTTGTAACTTTTGTTGTGGTCAAGGCTTATGCTATACGAGAAAGCATCTGGTGGTTTTCAAGATTATATACAGACTATATTTCTGTTCTTGATTAGATTTGCTCCACTATGTTTTGATTTTGATATTCATATTGTCGGGTTGATAAAAACAATCTTCCTATTAAAAACTTATTGATCTCCTAGATTTATTTGTCCACTTCCTTCTTTCGACAAATTATAATTTTTGTTGTCATACTATAAAAAGAACACTTACTATGTTTTTTTTGAAAAACTGATTGTTCTTACCTTCAACTCTACCCCAATAAAATAAAAGAGAATCAAATGAAAAAAAATGATCATATAGCTCAACTATTTAAGAAAGGTTTCGAGAACTTAGTACAAAGTGAACTTTACAAGATTTAAGAATGAGATACTGATTGTAAATCAAGAATAAAGAATGCGTTATATGTTACCAGTTAATTGACTAAATATACAATTTATAAACACACCAGATTTATGCACGAATATGGTTGGCACTCCAAAACGACCCCAAAAAAAATTCGAAGGAGAAGAAAAATACTTGACAATGATGACTAGAATTCTAACAAAGAAGTCGAGAATGACATATTTTTGGGCAATAAAAAGATAAATTTACACACATGTGTGTAGTATCCTCGCGGACTTATATATCATGCCATGAAAGGCATTCGTGGGGCAGCCCAACTATAGGACCTGAGGTGATTCGTCGGCTGTGGTGCAAAGTTGAGCCCAAACATAGCCTTAGAGGCATCATTGGTCTCCACGATCCCGACCAGCTTGGCAACGAGCGACGCACTTCGCTTCAGATGCTCCTTGTCTCTGCTGTCTTTCCATAGCTTATTGCATAGCTGTAGCCTCCTTTGCTTCGTGTTCAGCCCGATCCCCCATTCTTGAAACAGTTTGTTCCTCTCGTTTACATTGAATATCTTTAGCATTTGCTTGCACAACATCTCTCTTTCTCGCTTCATGCTTTTGATGCTAGAGTATGATCATCAAGAACATCACGTTAATGAAGTCTTGAATTGAGTTATATAATCGACTCGATTTCCTAGTTAATGTCTTTTTATCCAAGAATAAGGCTAGGATGCCATTCATGCTTGGCAGAAACGATTAACGTCTGTGTTTGTCTGTGCCATGTATGGATGAACACATAATCACACCAATGTGGTGGCACCCTAGCATGACCTTTGATCCAAATATCTATACTAGTCTAATCTTAAATTCTATTTAGTGCGCCCGCATGGGTAGCTCAACTGGTCCAAGGAGTGTATGTCAAACCTATTGATTCTATAGTGAAATCTGGCAGTGGCAGTATAAAAGTTCTATTCTTTGTAATAGTTTCTAGTCCGCACCGGGCACAGAACAACTTATCTAAGGATCTAATTGAGATTATAACATGATTTACCTCTTCTGTCGGACCGAAATCTAGGAGCTCTCGGGGTGGGGTGGGGGTTCCACTCATTTTTTTAAAAATTCTATTGAGTGTGGAAGAAGATCATAAAAAGGGAAACAAGAATGCAAAAAAAAAAAAAAAAAGTTTTCAAAAAAAAAAAAAAGAATGCAAAAAAAAGGGAGAGTACCTTGCAGCCTCGGTTAAATTCTGGCCATCTTTTAGCTTTCTTTCTCCTTGAGACCACGAGTTCTTGAGAAAGTGTAAGCGTCGGAGCTCGACCTCCATGTAAACGGCGTCCGACGGGTCTCCTTTGAAGAGAAGGAAGAAGTATGTTCTGTGCACCAATGGCACATGGCACGCATCCCAAAGTTCAATGATCTCTCCTCTCTTCTTCTCGAACTCCTGCGGCCACTCCGACTCGTCATCTCTGTGTTCCAAATCGCCATCATCAACTTCTTTGGGATCTTCATTCCCGCACCGGAACTGTTTTTCCGGCATAGCTTCAACGTCTTCGTGAACTGTGACGCCGCCGTCATCTTCGTCCATCGAGATCTTGAACTTGTGCTCCTTTACAATCACGTCCAAGAAGTCCTCATTGTCATTGGCCGAAAATTTCTTAGATTCCGCAGAAATTGCGATCTCGTCAAAATCGACCGGATAATAACCGCCCAGATCCACTTTCGCGGCTGCAATTCGAGAGTCGTCGCCCATTTCTATGCATTGAACTTCCTTGCAGCTATCAGAAGCAAAACTATTGTCAGATCTATGAGCACGATGAGCTTGGAGCAAGTCCTGGCACGGGTTGGGCCCGAAAAACTTGTCGATGAAGAGTCTGGGAGAGGTATCATTGGAGAGAAACTGGTCTTCATCAATGGCTGCCTCATCAACGACAGCATCGTCAAATCTAGATGATGCTGAAGCCTCTGCTATATGATGATGATGATGGAAAGGAGTTTCTGAGGCTTCGGATGCATCGATGTAATCTTCAGGGGTTTCTGATTGGTAACTCATCTCCCCCTAAATGAAAATGAACATAAATTGGGCATTTGCAGAATTGAAAATATGAAAAAAATTATGTTTATGTGTTCATTTTCATACCCATGATGTTCTTGAATGTAGCAAATTTTGCATCCGAGATTGAGCTATGTCCCGCTGCATCATCAACTCCCTCATTTCTTTGTTCATCTGGATGATATGATTATTATGCTTAGTGCAAAATACATAAGAAACCGAAGTCGGATAGGAAGAAGTTAACCTTTTCAATGACATCTTCTTTCTCCTTGAGCACCAAAGCAGATTTTTCATCCACAGAACGCGATTTCAGCGCCTTGAGTTCATTTTCAAGTCTTGCCAATTCCTTCTGGAGTTGTCTAACCAATGCTTTATCAGACATCACCACGTTGACTTGAGCTTTGGTTGCAACCTGTTTGGCACAGGTAGCAAACAATAGTGTGTTTCTGGACTGCTCAACATGGCTGCGCGCAGGGCTCATCGTACAAATGATGGCTGTTCTTGCATTCCCTCCTAGAGAGTTTTGCAGTATTCGTGTTAGCTTGGAGTCTCTAAATGGGATGTGCCCATTTCTTCCTTTGCTGCTCACAAAAAAAAAAAAGAACATATAAGACTAGAAATATGAGTCTTGTCCCTTAGAATCAAGTCAATATGGCCCACCTGAGTTTGCGAATGACAGTCCCAAGGGTTAGCAGACTGCGGTTTATATGGCAACCCTCTTTCAGTCTTGTGCCAGCTGATAATGTTTGAGAAGCACGCTCGCTTCCAGCAAGATCGATAAAGTTCTACATTACGAAGAAAAGGGGGAAAAGTTAGTATTCCTTATACTTACTTGCCGATGTTGTAGTTATATCGACAAGGATCATGCTACAGTTACACCAAGGGATGAGGTCAAGATTGACACCACCAGTATTTGTGCGTAATTGTCTCTAATGGTGTCAATCTTGGTGTCATCCATGCGGTTAAGATAGCATTACCATGTCGACAATGTATCACAAAATACAGTTTCTTATAGTGTGGGCACTTCCATACCACTGCAGCTGAGAGAGTGCTGTTATTTTGAGAGCGGGAATATTGCTTTGCTGAACTTTCGACCGTCTGAAAAAAAGTGAGATGTTGCATTGTTAACTAAGAAGAAAACAATTGTTTCTCGTCACGTCTCATTTTCTAACAGACTTTTCTTTTGTTTCGTTTTTTTATTTTCTTTCACATTTCTTACCGATTTTTCATTTCCAAAAATTACAGGAAATACTAATGGTAAAAGACATACTGTACATACCAAGCGCAGAATCTGATGAGATCTAGAGCTCATTCCATTCAGAGAAGTTTCTCCTATTTGTCTTTGAGCTGTTAGACAATAAAACATAATCAGGTAATGTGCTGTGATATCATGCAGAAAAGAAGTTTTGTTCTCTCTTTCTTTTTGTTACCATCACAGAGAGTTAAAAGTTCATTTAGATGGCTTTGGTCCCTCAGTGTCACTTCTGAGAGTTTCTCAACAACAGTTCCTCTCTGCAAGAAAAAAATGGATTTGGATTGATGGAAACTGTAAAATATGAGATTTTGAAGAGAAAATGAGTCAAAACTACTTGTTCTACTGGTAAGTAATAAGCCCATGAATAGTTTTTACTCAAGCATTGCACACGAACAAAAATCTTTTTTTAGTGGGTGATTGTAGATTCAAAATCGTGACCTCTAGATCAGCAAGAATCAGATGTCATGTTAGAGAGCTATCTCAAACAAAGCTCAAGAATAATTTTTATATTCTAACACCATAACCAGGGGGGGGGGGGGGTGGGGCNTCTGGATCATCGAGTAGTCTAAGCCCAGTATTGTCTGAGCTAAGGAGGTCTCTGACCACTTCATTGTATATCTCTATAGCCGAGAACTTGAGCACGAAATTTCTTTCATCGTGCTGGAAAAAACAAAAAGAATATAATCAATGAGATCGATAATAACAGATACACATAAACTTATGGACTCATTTTAACAACAAAGTTTTTAGTTTTAGTCCCAAGACAACTCTTGTAACTTTTGGTCCTTGCGACCACTTCTAGATCATAAGTGGTCGGAAGAGACAAAAAGGGTCGAAAAATGAGAATCGCCTAACAATCATGGGGCCAAAAGTGCTAAATTTTATTATGAGAAAGTGTGATATGATGAGAGCACCTTGTTAATGTGTTCATATATATCTTGAACAGCATACTTGGTAACACCAGACATAGTATATGTCTTCCCACTGCTTGTCTGTCCATATGCAAAAATACTTGCTGGAGAACCAGCCATCAAATGTTTGTACCAATTCAGTAACTAAATTACATACATATTGTGATAAATCAAGCAAGAAGAAAAAAAGAGAGTGAGAGTTACCATTAATGCCACTTAGAACTGAAAGAAACACACTTTTTGCAGCCTCATCATAAACCTGTCTTGTGGAGCATTCACACCCAAATACTCTGTCTATTTACCATAAACCAACCATCAGAATCAAACATCATTCAACTCTCAAAATATATTGCCAGAGGACCTTATAATAAGCCAAATGCAAACAAGCTAATTGTAAGACCCTCTAACACATACTCGTGTCTAAAAAAAATGTTCGCGGTTCACATGGTCAAAGTTTGACTACTTTTTTTATTTTCATTACTTATTTGATAACATAATACGGTTTTGTTACTTTTTTTTTGAATGCTATTGACTCTATTACAAGGTAGTATCTATTCATACTATTCTCAAGCTAATGACGCACAAAGAGCCAATGCTGCTGCCTTCGCTGGGGCTCGAACCTGGGTGAACTTCCCCATGAATCCTGGGGAGTGGGCTTGCTACCACTCAAGCCAGGGGAGAAGTTCGGTTTTGTTACTTTTTATTTTGTAGATCTTTTGTCATAATTTTTAAATGTATGATTTTTTTCTAAGTTTTGTGCCAATTTTTTATATAAATTGAATTAGAAATAATTTTATTTGCGCACCGCCGCCTGCAACAAAAAATTGTTTTCGGGAAGTAAATAGTGTATTGGCTTAAAACAAGAAAATCTATACATTAGATTCATATCCACAATTGTTCATAAGAGATTTATCACTCCTCAGAATCATTTTATACTCACCGAATTGATAGGCGGTTGGGGTCGATGAACGTTCCCCGAGAGTGTTTTTAAACAAAATAGTGTTGTCATTGATGCATTCCCAGTCAGCAATGTCGTTCTTTGAAATCTCGATGTCGTTCAGAGGTCTCACCCTAATGGAAACATATATTTTCTCTTCATGTGCACTTGAACCTTGGTCATCCCATTGGGGTGGAAACCCCTCATCCCCACAAGTTGAGCTCATTTTAATTTCTTACAAAACAAACAAAACAAAAACCTCTTTCCAACACAAATGCACTTGAAGAGAATCAAAAGTGTTCAAAGCTAAAATATCAAGAAATCTTCATATGGTCCTCTCTCAATGAGAGGACCAAACTTTATCAAATACCCCTCTTTGGTTTATATGCCAAATTGAATTAATAAGATCCCCTTTTAGCTTCTTATCCTTCTTCTTTTCTGCATGGAACAGAAACTTAATCTTAAAAAAAAATTCCAATAAAAATGGCTAATGTTTTAAAAAGAAAAATAGAAACATGAAGGCATTTTTCTCGATAAAATGAACAAATGGAAGGAAAAAAAGATAATGATTATGAGAGAATTTCATGCCTTTTGTTTTTAATCCATTTGATATATGTTTGCCAAACCAAAGAGCCTTGAGAAAAATAACTTCTTTTTATTTTTATTTTTTTTTTAAAATAACAAATATTTTTTGACAGAAGAGAGGAAAATGGAGAGACAGAAAGAGAGAAGATAGTTGTGGCTGTGGTTTTCTGGTAGGGCTAGAAATAAGCTCAAAACATACATTTTCTAAATGCAGAGACAAATGCGCATAAGTTTTAAATGGAACTTCTTTTTTAAAAAACTTGTGGGAAAATCTATATAAGCTTTGTTTATTATTAGCAACTATGACAACATAAAAAGCAAAATCACATAATATCATTTGGCTTTTCATTGTTGCAATGTTATAACAATATATAATTACAAGTGAAAATTCTAAGAATAACTATCATCGCTTAATAACTAATATTCCGTAGTTACTTCATCCATCAATTAGTTTTCGTTTTGACTTTACACACAAATTTAAAAAAATAAAAAATATTCACTTTTCATGTATTTGTCCTTGGTAATTGAAAAAGTGAAATAAAGTAAGGATGGTAGTAATTAATGGTAAAGGTGAGTGTAACATTGTCATTTAAAGAAAAAAAAGAATGATGTAAAATTATGGACAGACAAATAAGAAAAGTAAAAAGAAAATTTATAAACTGAGTGGTAATATGTAACCATAATTCTCATCATCTTTTCTCTTTTTACTTGAAAATAGGAAATATGGAGTGTATGCCAACATTATTTTGAGTTATAAATATCTTCCGTCAGAAGTAATAAACAAATCCGTTGTAGTCTAGGTGGTTAGGATACTCGGCTCTCACCCGAGAGACCCGGGTTCAAGTCCCGGCAACGGAAGATGCTTTTTTTAAAATGGCACAGTACTTCGAGGGAAGTATTTCTACATCACGTTAAAAAATTGAAAATGAGAGAACTATTATATTAATTTTAATGTACAGCGCCAAAATAAGACTTTTATTTTACTTCTTAATATAAAAGAAATTTGTGGTTAATAAAATTTTTATTTCATATAAATAAATTTTCATTATACCATTTTGCAATTTCTAATGCATGTACAGATCTAAAAGAATACTTCTATTTTACTTCTTACTTTTAAAAAAAATGTAATTAAACATCTTTAATGCAAAACTCTTAGAGAGTTGCTTAGCTTAAAAAAGTTGATGTGGAACACCGGTGTTATGGGTTGTGGAGTTGGTTATTTAGTTAGTATTTTGTTTAGTTAGTATCATTTAAAATATATTGTAAATTAGTTTTTATTAGATGCGTAGAATTATAAACTTCTTAGAGCGTTTATTTCTTGTTTTTATCTCGATGCATTTCTTGAACTGATATTGTCGGGGATAAGGTTAGATTAGGGTTTCTCTATCTCCTATAAATAGAGATAACCCCTTTTAAAACTATACAAATTTTCAATAACTTAATATTCGCATGTCAAATCATCAAATTGAAAAAACACAATATTATACTTCAAAGTTTATATAAAAACCTCTCTTATTTTTATCATCTCTGGTTGTGCCAAAAATTTAGTATTTTTTGGCTTCAGAGTGAGATGAAATAAAACAAATTAAATCTTTAAACTGTCCGTACTTCTTTAATTAATAAAGTAGTTGTTCGTCAATTAACGCAACTTTCGACATTGAGCCGAAGGGTCTCTTAGGAAACAACTTCTCTACTTTAGAATATGTGTAAGGTCTACGTATACACATCCTCCCATACCCTACTCTTATCGGATTCAACTGAGCTATTGTTGTGTTTACTCCCTCCGTTCCCGATAAATTAAGACAGATTGTTATCATGTACTTGAAAAAAAATATTGAGCGATAAAATATTAGTGATTGAAATTTGTTCAGAAGAAAAAGGAGAAATATAGATCGCAGGTCTTTTTCAAATACTCCAATTAAACCACAATAAATTATGGGCCATGCAACACTTACACCACAAATTGTACCCCATTTGTACACCGTAGTTATACACAAACATTTTGATGGTTTACAACGACACAAATGTTGGTGCGTTAAAAAAAATTTACACGAACACAAAGTGTTGGTGCATTAACAAAAAGTAGTTTTACACCAACACAAAGTGTTGGTGCAAACCTGCGGGGTACAAAGTGGGCTACAAAAGTTGGGGTATAAATAGCTTTATCCATAAATTATTTGTTCATAATCTTTATTAGCAGATGCTAAAATATGTATGTCATCCTAGCACACTACTCCGTATTATTTTGTTTTTAAATTGGTTTTGTCGTTTGGATTCCTTAGTATTATGAGTTGTTAGGTCGCATCTGTGTCTCACATGTTGTACGGATAGAACACTTGTCTTGCAAGCATATACTCCCCCATCCCAAATTTGATAACAAATCCGGATTTACGAGCCGAAATTTTTCATTTTTTGAAATTATTTTATTTACAAATTAATATATCGATAAAAAATAAAATTAAATATTAAAAAATTACGTCAAAAATTCTTCAAAACAAATATTGACAAGAATATTTTACTTTTTCAAATAATCAATGAAAACGTATAAATAAACAAAAGTTATCAAGAGAAGAAAGAAAACAATTGTAATCAAAATTGAGACGGACAAGTACATGTATATATGCATGTGCTCTTGGTGGGGTTAGGGTTCACTTTAAGTCATCTATGTACCCTTTAATTTATTTATTTTTAAATTATTACAGTTTTATTTTTTTGTGACCATGAAAAGAGTAGCCTCATGTGGCTGGAAACAAATTAATCAACGTTCACTGCTAATATGAGTGATAAATTTATTATTAGGCAGCAATTTATGCCAATTAGAACTAAAAATCTACGACTGTTAAATCCTGACTAAGGGTGCATTTGACTAATTTGTGGGAGATGCCACATGAACCCCTGGAATACAC